TCTCAACATTGCATAATGGTTATATACTAGTCCTCAAAATGGGCCTAATGGTACTTCTCTCTGTTTTCTCTTCTTTCCCAAATGTTGGATAATTCGTAGAATAATCTAACACTTTCCAAATCATGGAATATCAGTTATATTATTCGAGGTTGATCTATAGGTTGAAGAAGTGTTTATAGTTTTATTTTCAAAATTCAAATGGTTATCCAACGATGGCAAAGCAATAGAACAATATATTTGGCTTTAGTTAAAAAAATTATAATTAATATATGATTAAATTATAATTTCGTCAATAAATTTTGAGATTTATGTCTATTTGGAAAATTACCTTTGTGGAGGAAAAGGTCAAAGCACCTGATAGTGCATGGTCAGCGAATACAGATTTTATAGCAGTGGCTTCCACCGCATCACCTAAATAAAAGACCCACAAACATAAATTACATCTATAATACAACATTGGCACATTTCTATAGATACAAAAATCACACTAATCAACTTGTAATAGATAGAAATTTTTACCCAAGGGTGTAGATGTAGCATGTGCATTTAGGTAATCTACTTGGTAGGGATGAAATCCAGACTGCAATTCATCAAAGGAAGAAAAAACAGCAAGCATGTTATAAATTTGTGCCGTACCAAAGTGAATTTCGAGTTAATCCTTGCAAGAGAATATTCATTGTAAATTTAGCATCAAGAGAATGTTTTATTGTTTAAGGGTCTGAATATCTTTCTAAGTACTTAAAAAAATATATTTGAAGTGCAAAGACAACCGTGTTTTTAAGCAGTTATTCCAAACAAGGTCTGGTAAATAATATTGCTATTATCCTTTTTTGGTTATTTATTGTAACAATCCAAGCCCAACGCTAGCAGATATTGTCATCTTTAGGCTTCCCTTATGGACTTTCTTGCAAGGTTTAAAAACACGTTCGCTAGGGAGAACTTTCTACACCCTTATAAGAAATGTTTCATTCCCTTCTTCAATTGATGTGGGATCTCACAATCTATCCCCCTTGATGGCCCAGCGTCCTCACTGGCACACCGTCCAGTGACTGGCTTTAATATCATTTGTAACAGCTCATGTCTACCGCTAGCAGATATTGTCTTATTTGGGCTTTCCCTTTTAGACTTCCTCTCAAGGTTTTAAAACGCGTCTGTTAGAGAGAGGTTTCCACACACTTATAAGGAATATTTCGTTTTCCTCTTCAACCGATGTGGTATCTCACATTTATGCAAATTAGAGAGCATTTATGGGAGCTTTTAGTTAGTTAGTGGTGAGGATCTCTTGTCATGCCCCGATGGCAGGTTGCTTCTAGTTGAAAGTAATTAAACAAGTAAAATGGAAAAAGAGAGTGTTCGTAGACTAATATGAAATAAATAAGCTGTTAGAGCCATCATTAGTTCTTTAACCTGTTTGAAAGCACGTGTCATGGCGAGGGCTGCACCTCTTCCACTGGCGTGTGGTTGAGTAATGTGATGGGCATCACCTAAAGATCATCATTATTTTTATTACCACATGAACTTAAAGACATTGCCCTTAGAAAAATCTACAAATAGTCAGCAAAGTCAGCTCATTCAAACCTGAAGTCCCATAGCCACGAACTTCTGCGTATATTCTAGCTCCACGTTTTAATGCATGATCAAGTTCCTATATAAGAAAATGAGAACTAACCTTGTAACAAAGCTACCTCGATCAACAAATAGAATAAAGGAACTGTTGTAGCTCATTAAGGGCCTATTTAGAATGACTTTCTAAATCCTTAAAAGCGCTTTTGTTAGCACATTAAGCACTTAAAAATTCCAAACGAGCTTTTAAGTAGTAGCATCCAACTGACCTCCAGTACCATGACGCCAGAACCTTCCCCTATGCTGAATGCGGGTCACGAGGAGGGGGGCGGAAGTGAGAATAAGAAAAAAAAGGATGTAAAATAAAAATAAATGAAATGTGTACGCACACAAACCCATCTCGACCAGAGTCAAAAGGGCGAGAAGCTTCTTGTGGAGCTGAATTGTATTTTGTACATAAAGCCCTCGACCTGAAAATAATTAATTAGATATGATTAGAACTCAAAAAGTATAGTCACATTAAGTACAACATAGTGTAATCAAAGGCATTTTATTCAATACTTTAATCACCTGCAAAATCCTGCTATTGATAAAGCATCAATGCTGGACTCTGTGCCTCCAGCCACCATAACATCAGAATCTCCGAACTGAATCATCCGAACAGCATCGCCAATGGAGTGTGCTCCAGTTGCACAAGCTGTCACTGCAGCATGGTTTGGACCCTATAAGAACACACTAGACAGCTTGATTTGAAAGATAGTATTAAGAAGTTCCATAGACTATACTAAAAGGCTGAATGTATTAAAATTGAACAGACAGAAACAGATAATTATATGGGCATATGCTAATAACACTGAAACTTCCATGTTGATATTGATAATTTCTGGCCGGATATCAGCCTAAGTTCCCATTTGTGAAACATCACATACTCCGAATAAATTGAACCAAGATATCTGATGCAACCTACATCTAAGAGACAGAGCTCTAATAATTCTCAACAGAAGCCTTTACTGATATCTAAAAAGTCAACAAATACAGAAGACTAACTCGCATTTTATAGAGAATGTTGACCCACTAAGTAAACCAATTTCTAACAAAACAGCCAACAAATCAACTAAAACTAGAAGTTTACCCTTAATCACAGTGCACCAATATCTCATTTCAATTCAGCTTCATGGATACTTAAAAATACTGATAACCCATAAAAAAAGATCCCTAAAAAATTATCAGACATGGACAACTAGCATCATGAATTGAAGAACAGAATAAATGGCATGTATCCTGATCAATCTCATAGCATAGCAAATTCTCAAAAATCTCAGAATATATTTCTGTACCTGAAATCCATATTTCATGCTCACGTGACCTGAGGCCATGTTGATTAATATTCGCGGAATGAAAAATGGACTAAGGCGACGTAGCTTCTGCAAAAAAAAAACAAAGAGGAAAACAAATTCCTTTAAAAACCCCCATGATGAGAGGCATGAGAGAGATTTCTGTTATTTTTCTCAATATATGAAGAGCAAAAATATCATAAATTAACCTTATCACAAATTAGTTGTGCTGCATCTAGCACATCACTGATGCTTCCAATTCCACCACCAATAGAGACTCCCTGGCATTTTCAAGTCAAAAAACTGATATTTTCCTAAATAATTAAAAGAAAAATGTTTTGAATATCACTATACAAAGAACCATACTGTTTTTTCCTTCTGTTCCTGCAAAGATGGCATCCAATTCGCATCTTTTAAGGCTTCATCAGCAGCACATAAAGCATAGCCTATAAACCTTGAAATTGAGCGATGCTCCTGACAATTTCAATAATCTGAAACACGATTAGCTGAGGGAATACCTACAACTATCGGAGATGTTCACAAAAATCATCTAAAGAATCTGTCCCAGAACTAAGTTCATAATTTCACTAATTCAGGCACCATAAGAATCATCTGAGCGGTGACTAATAAAAGCAACAGAGAAAAAGCTATGTTTTAAGAACCCATCCAGTAGATTAGACCTCCACTCTCAATGTTTGTATATGAAAAAAAAAAAAAATCAAGCTATATAAAATGTAACAATCAATTATGTTCAAAGAGAAGCATTTATTCAATAAGGAATATCCTATTTGACCTTAGAATTAAGCCACAATTCTTCGTTAAATTCACCAGGCTTTGTTCCGCGAGGGACCACAGCAGCAACTTTTGATGTCAATTGGTCATATATGTGCAGCTGAGTTTCTGGATCAAAAGCATTAATTTGGAGATCTTCTGGGGTTAATTTTATAATCCCACATCCCCCTTCTATTAGGCGCGTCCAAGTAGATTTCACACCACAACCAAGTGGAGTCACCATTCCTAAACCTGAAATGAAATGGCAAACATGTAAGAGATGGTAAAGTATAAAATATAAGCATATTCATGAAAAAATACTACAAATTACTCTAAAACAATTACGAGAGGAACATAAGGGAAAATTGATGCTTACTCCCGATAAGCTAAGTGCCAGCAAGAACAAAATATTAGATATTTTAGATACATAGAAAAAAAAAATCAACTGAGCATGATCACATAAATGGATAAAAGCTTCAATCTACGCATTTTCATTTGCTATCTCGGCAAAACGCTAAAGTTTGCAGAAAATGCAGCTCGACTCTATTGGACGCTACAAATTTCCTTTGGAGATATTAGATAAGCGTGATTGCTATATTATAAATTGAATTAGGAAAGTATTACCAGTAACGACCACTCTTCGAGTATGAACGACAGGAGGAGGATCAAAAGCTTCAATCGCCGAAAATGGTGAAGAAGAAACATGGCGACTCGGTGGGAAATGAGATTTGGCAAATAAGCGACGGATAGACGGAAGTGGCATCGCCGGTTAATGATCACCTTCACTGAGGATTGGAGACTAACAGACCTTCAAAGATTGAGGAAGACACAGTAAGAACACATCGAAACTTTCAAGGAATGGCTCGCGGCAGTTCACCACTTGAATTGTTCTTTCCTTGAATACAATTTCCGTAGAATTTAAAACTCTTGCGTTTTCTAAACTACAGGGACACATTTGTAATTTCGACTTTTTTTTTTCTTTTTTTTCTTTTTTTTTTTTTTTTTTTTTTTTTTTTTTTTTTTTTTGCTTTTCTTGTCTTCTTGGAGAGGAGAAAAGACTTGCTTACCTGTCTGTTTTAAAAAATCCTTTAGAATTAATAGATAATTACTATTTTGAATAATATTTCATAAAAATATATAAAGAACCCTAATATAATATAAATATATAATAGATTCTTAATTTTGATACATCCTATGTACAAAATGGGGACCATGAGTAGAGTGGGACAGAAACAGCCATGGAAATTATAATTTTTGTCTCGAACCTCACTTAAACTCGTGGATTAAACGAACATCTTTAATTGAGACTTCAAAATATAGGAACTGAATTCTAACTTTTAAGAACCAAGTTTATAATTGAACATTTGTATAAACAAATAAACAGACACCATAAGGACCTACAGTCCTATTTTGAGTTTCGAGTGGTCTAGTCTAAAACGATAAGCTGAACTAGTATATAGTATCATCATACACATTATCATTTATAGTTCTATTAAACATAATAACTACGTTCTTCAATCTATCTACAAGGCATTGCACGTTTCAAGGGTGGATTTGGCAAGCCACAATAAGCCAGGATCGTTACGCTTCAGTACGAGAAAGCGTACGAGAAATGTTTCGGCGTTGCCCATTTCGTTTAGCAGTACATCTTCAATGAAACCTATCAAGAAGAGGATCTCCAGTGCAGCTGCATTCGAAAATGTTAAAAGAATTGATACAGAAGATCATAGTAATTTAGAACAGTTCTTTCGTTTCTTCAAGCATGTTGCATATGAACGCATACAAAACTAACCTTTGTAGTTGGCAACATTCTTCTGGATAGTGGGATTAGCCTGCAATGCTTCATTTATTAGCTCAAGGATACAATAAAAATTACTAAAACTTATTCAAAGCTTTCAGTATTTCATAGTCTTGCCTTGCAAAACTCTGTATTTCATATCACCAGGGTTTTCAATTACATTCCTGCAGATAAGAGGAAATTTAAGCAAACAATTTACCATTGAAGATTAAATCATAATAACCAGACGCCAAAAGCCATAGGGTAAGTAGCCAAGGACAAGCAGCCGAACATTTCCATCAAGAACTGAGAGCACAAAAGGATAAGAGCAGTAGAAGTTACCTAACAATCTTGAACAGAGTTTGAAAAACTGCAGCGGATTCAGAAGGTCGAACTTCAGCCAGCAGCCTTGCAATAACCTCATGCAATCGAATACAAACAACAGAAACAGGGTCTTGAATTCTTTGAATTTCTTGATCATCAGGATCGGGTTCATCAACAACCATTTTTGATAAATCCGCCTGATGTACCGAACTTTCATCAGGGTCAGGCTCTGTCTGCATAGGTTCTGTGACTAAGCCAGCTTCTAGACAATCGGCCTCATAATTGAAACTGTCATCTGGGTCAGGCTCGAACTTCTTTTGATAATTGGAACTGTCATCTGGATCAGGCTCGAACTTCTTTTGATAATTGCTGTCATCTGGATCAGGCTCAAACTTCTTTTGATAATCGGAACTGTCATCTGGGTCAGGCTCAAACTTCTTTTGATAATAGGAACGATCCGGGTCAGGCTCAAACTTCTTTTGATAATCGGAACTGTCATCTGGGTCAGGCTCGAACTTCTTTTGATAATCGGAAATGTCATCTGGGTCAGGCTCAAGCTTCTTTTGATAATTGCAACTGTCATCCGGGTCAGGCTCAAGCTTCTTTTGATAATTGCAACTGTCATCCGGGTCAGGCTCAAGCTTCTTTTGATAATTGGAACTGTCATCCGGGTTAGGCTCGAACTTCTTTTGATAATTGGAACTGTCATCCGCGTCAGGCTCGAGCTTCTTTTGATAATTGGAACTGTCATCTAGGTCAGGCTCGATCTTCTTTTGATAAGCATCAACGTCAGTATCGGGCTCCAGTATGCTTCCACCAAGCTTCTGTGAGACACCAAAGCCATCTTGGACATCATCGCTTTCATCATGATATTGGGAATAACTAACTCCACTCAACGTGTGGCCTTTTGATCTTGTCCAATCTAAAGTGGCAGCCTCCTCATTAAGCTAAGAAATATAAGATTGAAAGAACAACCAAAATTACAGACTAATAATGCAAAGCGATAATTGTAAATATGCCATAAATGAGAAAACAATCTTAATCATAAAACATACTACCTGCTTATCCAAAGCATAGAAGTTTGCATCATGCTTGGAATAAATCACGTGTGCCTAGATGTAAATCACAATACGTTAAGAAATTCATTCGAGACTCAATTACCATGTACTATTATCCTCTGCATGCATAAAAAAGGAAAAAACAAAGAGAGCTCACAAGTTCATGGAGTAATGTTTTCTTAATGCTTTCATATTTTCTGAAGCCCTTCAGGTCGTCTGTCCGAAGTTGCAGGGATATCTCCTCACCATGGTTCTGATCCGAAACCACAGTCAAAATTCAAATTTGGAGAATAATATTCTAAGATTTTCCATGCATTGAAGTAGTCGTACCTTATTAAAGCCAAGAATACATTTAGGTCTCACACCAACATAGCCAACAGGGGCCATCTCGGTCATAATTCCCACATGCCAACGATGCTAAAAGAAGGCCAATCACCAGGTTATTTATAGTCAATCACATATTAAATCCAGATTTAGTCATTGCTTTACCTTGTTCATGATTGCGACAATGCCAGGATCAGCTGCAAGCATATGCATTCTTTTCAAAGCTTCTGAAGCTGGAGGGTTCAACTACAGCCAATGAAAGGATGCCATTCAACACCAGTTAAGACATGTAGATTAATGTAATTCTCAACAAAGGAAATCTTAAGGGGCATAAGCCCTGTAAAATGCAATCCTGCTGACATTTGTGCATGCAATACTAAATTACTGAAAAAACACTGTAAAGCATGGAAAAGAGCACCTCAATTCCTGGAATTTGAAGTGTCCGAAATTCGCAAAATACATAGGGTCCTTCTGGTAGTTTCAGTAAGCCCTGTTGCTTACTTGACATTCGTTGTTTCAGTCTCTGTTCTTCTTCGTCGAACCCAGCAATTCGTTCATTTTTCTTTTCGTTCTTCAAAACTTCATCTACCTCATTCTTAGACACTCCCATCATTCTGATAGGCTTGTTGTCCTGAAGCGGTCAGAGCTGATAGTCAGTTGCCTAGAACTAGCAGCATAATGACAATTTTTTGGAGGATCATTAGAGAAAATATTGTTCCAGACAGATCGAAACAGCAAACATAATATCAGAACTTCATACGTGTTACGAACATACTACTTCAAATAACCCGTCAAATCAAAAACCAACTAGTGGCTGTGGCACACAACCTAAAAAGCTCAACTTCATAGATAGAAGTAATGGCACCTTAAAAGTTGAAATCTTATGCAAAGCCAAGAATCCATCTTCATCAAAAAAAGGATATAACATTTTAGAGCTCTTGCTGGAAAATTGTGGGACAAAGAGCCGCATGGTATCTGCTTGAACTTCTGTTAATTTTAGCAGCTTTTCACCGAGGTCCCGAAGAGTAGAATCTGAACTAATTTCCACCACATACTTCGTTCCTCTCCATAAGACGGGCAAATTATACACGCTGTGTTGCTGCTCCATGCTCTCCTGAAAGAAATAAGAAGCTATTATCAGGACACTCAGTATACTCCGCATTAAAATTTTAGATGGCCAGAGCTGCAGCTTCTCGTGCTCATCTTAACAAGAATCTGGCTCGCACAAAAACCAACATGGATTTTGTGAACACATCAGAAGGAAACATAAGGTCGTCCCAACAATAATTATGATGTTCAAATTCTGAACACCGTAGCTATTAGAAAATAGAAGAAACTAGTTTAAGACCAAGAAAGTCCCTCGTCGATCGATCCAACCAAACGAAATTCCATCTCTCCCTATGCGAAAAGGAGCAAAAACTTACATCTATCTCATCAATTATCGCTAAGCTCGTGGAAAAAATTGACAAAATTGAACGTTGGAATCCATGATATTCTTAACAGCTGAACAATCAGATTGTTTCTCAAAGAAAAACGCGTCCAGAAAGGAGAATACCTTCTCAGCGAAATCAAGAGGTGACGGTAACAAGCCCTAGCAATCTAAAACAACTCTTTCACGAATCGAATTCCATCGAAACAAAAGGAAATCAAAACCATGGTTTCAAAACTTTTGAAAGGACGATCGGAACCCAGATTTGAAGCCATGGATGACTTACCAGAAGTTGGACGGTGGCCTGTGCGAAAGGAAAATCAATATTGCCCAAGAACTGGTTGCATGCGAAATTAGAAGAGATTTATGGGCGTTGAGAAATGAAAATGAAGGTCGCAGTTAGTGCAGATGGCGGCAATCTAGTAGACGGATGACGAGGACGCCCATTTTTACGGTGGTCCAAAGAACATTACCCGTGCGCGGCAATTTAGTCGACGGATTCACCTTTGGACACAAAATAGTAAAATTTTATACACCCAACAATCAAATCCGTACCTTATTCCCTTATCCATGGATAACTTATTTCATGTGGCGAAGAGCCCCGATGTGAGCTCTTGAGAAAAATCAGCTTGTTATCTTTAGAGTAAGCATTATTTTTTCAAATTCATTTTTTCATCTACTAACAAGACTCCAAGTTCCACGCCTACTAACTTGTCTCTACATTATGCTACTAACGGACTCCAAATTTCACACATACTAATTTGTCTCTACACTATGCTAACTCCACCCCTGCTAACTTGTCTCCACACTATGCCAAATCAAGTCATGCCAAATCAAGTCATTCGACTCAGCTCTACTGACTTAATCTTGGCTCGGCTCTACTCGGGATGACTTGATCTCATCTCAACTTCCAACTACACAACTATCCTCCCATATCTGAGGATAACTTGGTCATCTTGACTTAGCTTGCTTAGACACATTCGAATGTATAGATGCTCGAGATATCTTAATGGAATGTTAGACACATTCGGATGTATAGATGCTCGAGATATCTTAATGAGATGTTAGACACATTCACCTTTGTTCCACACAAATTTTTAAAAAGCAACCTTTGGAAATTTTTTAATTTATTATTTTTATTGGTCTTTTTATTTATTATTTAACACAAATCTTAATTTATTTTTGAAGTACAAAATTTCAAAATAAAGGAACTTGCAAATGAATTTTAAAAATTTAACTAATTTACTTTATATTTTAGTAATAATTTTTTTTAAGGAAAAAAAAAAATAATAAAGGCAGAATAAGTACTATCGCACTAAATCATAAACAAATGCAACTATCGCACTAAATCATTAACAAATTCAATGCATGCGGATGAGATACCGTGAAGGCATGCCTATTGCCGCAACAAGAAGAAACCAAAGACCATAACAAAATTGCGAACTAAGAATATAAGAAATAAAAAACACATTTAAATTTCTCAGGCGCTAAAGAAGGATATAAAAACACTGATCTCGCCGCCGCTCAATGCCCCACTGTAAACCTGGTGCCCTTTTCCTCCGACGCCGGCTCGTCTTCCGATTCAGCCGCCCCCTCCTTAAGTATTCTACCGGATGCCGATAGGGTTATGGCGATGTTGTTCACGATCTTGTACGTGTCATCGAAATCGTCGTCAACGTCGTCGTTTTCTTGTCTGCATTGGTGAGCTTTTTCGCTCTCGTCGGTGGCGGCGGAGGAGTACCTGACGACGTGAACGTTGTCGCCGTGGCCGGAGTCCGCTACGACGGCTCTGGTGATCAAGAAGCAGAGAAGGATCGTTCCGAGGGAAAAAAGGGCCAGGCGTCTCGAAACAGCCATAATTAGGGCTTGCTTGTACGGATGAATTGTTTGGAGGTGCTACTGAGAGTGAAGAGCGTCGCGGGCACCTAAATATATAAGGTTGAGAAACGGATTTGTTTTGCCTTTTCATTTTCGTTTATTTATTTGTTTATTATTATTATTTTGTTGATGAGGTTGTGTTGAGTTGAGCTGGTCTTAAGGCATGTTAGCCATGAAATGCTGACACGTGGCTTGTAATGTGGGACCTGAGAGATTATTCGATTAAATTGAACAACACAATTGAACTACCTAGTGTGTAATATTGGGTATTCTCCACATTATAAAAATATGATTTGTTTCTTATATATTTCATCAAACAATTGTATCAAACAATTGTATTAATGTCTCAACCTGGTATAGATTGGGGACGAGTTTGTCGTATAATAGAGAGATTCCTTAACTTATATATTTATTTACTTACCTTAACTTATATATTTATTTACGTACGATCTCTTAATTAGTTAACACAGGATTAGTTAACACAGGACCGACAACTCCATAAACTTGAAAGCATATCTCATGTGTTCATAACCTATTGGTAACGTCCAGAGAAGGGCGATAGAAGCTGCTTCATTTCTTGAGAACGGCTCACCCTTTAAGGTTTACCATATCGGAGGTGCATCATTTTTTTTGGTTTATATTTTGAGCTTAATGTAAACGGATTAATTAGACACAAAGAAGATGGTGTATGAATGTTTTATAAGGTAAAAGTTGAGGATGCCACTTGAGGAAAGAATGGCTTATGGAGGATAGAGAATAGGAGCTCTTAATTATTTAATGAATTCTCCCACGAGCTATAGTAGATCAGCGAGACGAAAGGAGTGAAGGGAAAAATAAGCACTTCAACCATGAAAGTGAAACGTCATTTAAATTTAAATTAGGAAGACGAACAGCAAACTGTCCCCATTAACCTCAGAAATCGTAATCTTAATTCAGACGTTCTCCTTCACTACTTACTAAAAAACTTCAATTTGTTCATAGCTCATCCTTGCTCACACTGTCATCTTCACCACCTCCCATAAGCTCTTCGAGTGAGAACTCGTCCTCTTCGATTACCTCCCCGTCTTTACCGTCCCATGGCTCCGTTTTCACGATCTCCGGGGAGCTTTCAAGTGGTAAATTCCCTTTTCCTCCACGGCCAGCTTCTTTTACAAACTCCCTGTAAAAATAAACAATCATTTCATAAGCAATTTTATACATTTCTGAAATGGTATTGGATGGGACGTAAAGTTTTAACTTACACAACATGTGCGAGCTCAAATGCGCTCTTAAGGGGGGCGTATGCTCCTTTCTTCACATTCAAAGCTACCAAAGCAGGGTATCCATATCCACCAACTCCAACGCGCTTTTCGAGATCTGGTTGCTTACCAGCAGCTGCCCAAACGTAGCTGCATAATAGTGTAAGTAGTAGATTCAGATTCGTGGTGTCTCATTATAAAATTGTTTTAAAACATTTATATACTGATCACGATATGATACCCTGAGAGAAGAATTTAACTTGAATGAATGCGGGCAGTGATATGGTATGTGTTTTTAGATACTTGCCTGTAGGGGCTTCTTCTGAACTTCTCTGCAACTGACAACAATTGCTCGAGGTACTTGTTCCTTCCTTCGGCCTTGGTATCCAAAATGTCAGGCAGAAAAGCTACAAAACATATGGCAGCCGAGGCACATTTCTCTTCCATGACGTCCTATATGAGTGAAATAATAAGATTCATACTTCCACGCGTATGATAAAATATTTTAGAAACCAATTAGCATATCAAGAAAGCAACTTACAGGACCAGTCAGCTCCGTCACTTCTGGGGGTGCAACATTTGTATCTAGCTGCTCTAAAGCAAATGACTCGATTGCTGACGCAGTTCTTGTACCCTCATAAGGAACTGGGGTGTCCTTGTCAGCACCGAATACCAAGATGGTGGGGAATCCTTGAACATTGAACCTGCTCATTAGAGACTGGCGAGCCATTGCCGATTAGATCCCTCAGTTAATCATTAGTAAAGTAAGCAAGACTCGAATTGGAGATAAAATGAATGGAAACTAGAAATGGAACTGTTCAACTTGAAGAATCAAGTTACTCATAAAAATTCGGGTTGCCGTTGAAATTATCATTCATTTCCAAATTCATCATTTTCAATGGAAGAATAAACTCAACAACTTATAAAAATAGGTCATTCATAAAAAAATAAATAAATAAAATTCAAAGGAAAACAAGTTTTAAAGAATGATATCAACTATGTTTCCACTTCATTTTTGTTCTAAAAATCCACAAGAAAAAAATTAATAGTTTTTAAACTCGAATTCAAACAGCCTTATTTTCCTCATCGGGTTTCAAATAGTTAACCCAACAAAACATCATCAGGCAGGCAGACAATTGAAGTCATATGATAGACAAAACAATCGTTCAAGTGGTCAAATCAACCTGATGATGCAAACTATATAAATCTGATCCACATCGATCCCAATATAATTCTACAATTAGCTGACAGATTCAATTAAGTTTCAGATAATTTATTGGTTAAAATACCTAAAGCTGAATTTTGACTAACCTTCTCGGCATCACAATCTACGTGGCCCAATTTAACCTTCCCCTTCAAATTTTTAGCAGCCTTCTTCCACTCTGGAGCCAATCGTTTACAGTGTCCACACCTTATAAGATAAATGGGGAAAAAAATAAATTATCGTTCTGGCAAAATATAGAATGCAATCATGCTCTAAAGTAAAAAACAATAATAAAGACTTACCAAGGAGCAAAGAACTCCACAATCCAGAGTTCTTTACTTTTTATCACTAACTCATCAAAGTTGCGAGAATTCAACTCTTCTGAAGCATTAGGTTCTGATTTCTCATTTGACCCTCCTCCTGCTGTTTTTCCACTTAGACGTTCCTTTAAAAGGGCCTTTACCTGAGAAAAAGAAAATGAATGCAATATATCAAATGCACGTCTCAAAATATGAATGATACAAATATTTTCACAATTGCATGACAAGATAAAAGGATCTTGATGATTCTCTGAAGCTAACGACAAAGCCAAAAACAAGAAAAAGAAAATAAGAAAGTTAATGCTCTAAATGAAAGTTATCCCAACAAGTTCCGATGCAAACCTGTTGCAGAGCAAATTCTGCAATGGGTTTAACATCCCGAGCTCCTTGATAGTCTATTGGAGATTTTCCAGGCGCAAAGACTTTTATGGTCGGAAATCCTCTAATGCCATATTCCTGTAGAAATGAACGACCCACTGAATATAAGGAAACTGAGAGGAGCATAGTGAACAAGAAGTGTTGCATAATTAGAGGAATTTGCGATGAAAAGAAAGAAGGTCATTGAGCGGAGAAGATAAGCCGAACAGAAGTGTATCAATTGTCATATTCAACCAAACTCTTCCTGGGATTTTAAACATCAATGCAAGGATGTCATTCAAGAAAGAGAAGATGCACCGATGATACTCAAACTGACCACTTAAAAAATTTAAGCAGCTATTGTTTTCGATGGAACAAAACCTTTAAAGTTTAAGCAGTTAAGTTTATCAACGGAACAAAACAACCACTTCAAAACTTAACCAGTTATTTTCATCTAGAGAACCAAGGCGTCTTATTCATGCTCAAACCATCGAAACAATAATAACCAAGTGAATTCATACGACAGGAAAGATTCCCAATAAGTA